AACATGACCGCGAGATCCTGCTGTCGCGCATTCGCGACCGCAATCATATAGTTCAGTGGCAATGAACAGCCCCAAACTGATATTCGTCGAATGCAGGCCAAAACAGTCGATTTTAATACTTGAACTATCTTCTTGCTCTTTGAGTCAAGTCTCAGGTAAGTTCTGGATGCGCGATTTTCTTTTCTCGTGTTATTGCTTGACTTGCGACCGCGAGCGCCCTCCAGGCACGCGCACCACTCTGCGTCTAGCGCGCACTCGAGCATCAGTTCCTCGACCTTTCATCTAGATTTGATTCCATCTTCTGTGTTTTCTTTTTCATCTGACACACTCGTTTTTGATTTCCCGACTTAATTGGCAGCTTCTAACAGCTCTTCCTTGCAGTCAATCACCACCACAATGCCTAAGGAAAAGACTTCCACCCGCACCAAGACCAAGCGCGTCGAGAGAAAGAAGAAGGGTATGTACTTGCGCTTTTTCTGACGCAGCTTGCTTTGAACTAATCCTTGAGGTAGACCCCAATGCCCCCAAGCGTGGTCTTTCTGCCTACATGTTCTTCGCCAACGACAACCGTGACAAGGTCCGCGAGGAGAACCCCGGCATCTCGTTCGGTAAGTCATCTGACCACATCAAGCTCTGGATTCATCGCTTACTCTCTCCGCAGGTCAGGTCGGCAAGATGCTCGGAGAGAGATGGAAGGCCCTGAGCGACAGCGACCGCCGACCTTACGAGGAGAAGGCCGCCGCCGACAAGAAGCGTTACGAGGACGAGAAGGCGAGCTACAACGTACGTGATTATACCTCTTGCGCCTTGAAATGAACAGTGCTGACAGACCTTGGATTACAGGCCGCTCAGGATGAGGACGAAGAGGAATCCTCTTAAGATCTTCTTTCAAACCTAGGTCTCTTGTGTCTGGACCGATCGGCGTTGTTGAGTCGTATTTTCACTCTGATTGAGTTGTATTCGTCGCTTTTTCCTCTCTATACTCCTTTCTATTTTAACTTGCGACGGCTTTCGGGATGGGATGACGGTGGGGTTTCTCTACGTGCTTTTCTGTTCTTCATGAAGGATCTTCAATGGGAAATGTTTACTGTACGGACTGGGTTGAATTTGGCTTGAATAAGGGTGGACTGCAGCCTTATTTGAGTTCCGGCTGGTGGGATTGTTATGACCGGAAGTTGAAGCTGCAGAAAGTGATGTGTGAGGCAAGCAAAAACTGCTGTATACTAGTAGCTAATCAACCGCATCCTTTCCCTTATCGCCTATTGTGTTGTATATCAAGTAGATAGGTTGCACGGGTTGCTGCCGATTGACAGTTGAGACTTGCAAAAATGTGAGAGATCTTGCAGCTCGGGTACCTGGCCCAAGCTCCCGGGATGACGCGGGGACGGTTTGTTTACGTGTTGCCACCGACGCGTTCCAGCTCCGATATCTCCGAGTTGATGCCTTGATGCCTGAGCTTTGACATTTCGAATTAGGGCTCAGGTATGGACTATGGGAGATCTGTTTATTGCCTTGGGCTATATATAGCTGGTATGGATAATGGAGCATTGTAGGCGTACCATTCCAAGTAGAGAGGTAGTTGGTGTCAAAGACGGTGTATCTACCTAGATTTGGTCACCAGCGAGAGGTGGTACGATACATAACCCAGAGATCGATGCTTATTGCTTACTCTGATATCGCAGGTCTAGATGTGCTCTTAGCGTTGATTGTCAAAGCATATTCCAGCCCTAGACCTCTGCACTCTGAGATCTCCTTATCGCCTCTTAGGGAGTGTCTCGTGATCTGCATAAAATGAGAGCGACTTGTTTAAGGTTGGTCATAAACTTTGTTCCTCACAAGGGATTGCAAAGAATGAGACTTCTGGAATTAGAGATGGAACAGAGATCCGGTGTCATGAGATGCCGGTCCCTCTAGCCGCTTGAAGCATCCCATTCATCTCGTCCTACTCGTCCTCGCGGGGTTACACTTACACTTACAAATGCTCATCACCGCTCAATTCGGTGGATGCGATAACCCCGCGCATTATTGGCTGCCAGGACTATCCTCTGCACGACCACGTCAACGATCCTTATTAGACGGCCAGGAGGGGGCATCTTCTCTGTCGCGGTCTGTCGCTGTCTGTCGCTGAAGGAGCCGCAAGTCGATTGTCTTCTTCGCCAACGGATTGCAAGTGCAAGGATGAGGGATCTTGAGGGTCTCTTGATTGTATGTAGAATCCTTTGACTCAGTCAGATCTTGTGCCCCACTTGAGGCTTCTTCGGCTGCTTCTAGATACCATATTCTCTGTCCCTTTTGAACAATCCTGGTTGCTTTCCTTCTCTTTCATTCATTATCCTTCTTTTCTGATAGGGATTCTTTGCTCTTTCCAAGCTTGCTGCTTTTGTGTGCGCTTCTCCGTCTTTCTACAAGAGACTCTGAGACGACATGCATCCGAGGGCTGATCCCACCGATGACACGGCACAAGCAAGCTCTCAAGAACCCCATAACTAACTAATTAAATTTACTTAGTCTAATCCTAATCATCAATCTCCGAGTTGACTGTTGGTGCCCCTCCGGCTCTTATTTTCCCTTTGCCTTGGTTTTACTATGCTTGTCCTGGATGTAACTCCACACTACTTTTCGTATAGCGACCATTTGTGCGGTCCCCGCGTGGTATATTTTTCTTCGTCTCAATATTCTTTATTTGAACACAACAGTGGTCAACTGTTTGTGCATTACAATTCCGGCTCGCCTCTCAAAACGTATATAACATACTCCACACTTCCCGAGCGAAATTCTGGTTAAAGGCCGCGGCCCAGTGATGTGATCCCTCGCAATGGCATTGCGCACATCGGCCGACAACGCAGAGGATGTGGCAGCTGGCTTCCGGATGCTGCGCGATCCTCTGCCCGAACATGCAACGGAGATAACCAGTCTCATTGCCGACCTCTACTCCATCAGCACATCTTTGACAAGCCTGGATGACCTCACTAAGAATCGTCAATTTCGGCGTAATGTGGCTGTCGCCAAAGAAGACCTGGAACTGGTGCAGACCAGCCTGAAGTATACACTCGAGGACATTGTGGATTTCTTCGGCGACATTGAAGTGCAGAAAGGGTCGAACCGCGAGGTCTTCAAACGGACATGGCTTAGCCTTACTGCTTTCTTTCAGAAGGAGTCTCACGAGCCGCTTCCCACTCGTCTGGCCAAGTACAAGACCTTTCTCCGGGAATTGGAGGATTTGATCAAGGAGTGCGTCCAGCTTCTTTTTTCCCTAGGCCTGATACTGACATGGTGTCGTAGCAAATATCCCGACACCCCTCTTATGAGCGGTCTGCGCAACAACCTCAAGGGTCTCTTAATCCAGCAGGAAAACCGGCTTACTCCGCGATTTGGCGGCCTCTCCCTGGGCACCCCGTCCTCGAGCACCACGAGTGCCGAGCCAGGAAGTCCAGTCAGTGATCGACGACCCCGTAACCGTAGGTCGTACGAGCGAGCCAGACCATCTCATCGCTCGCCTCAATCGCCCCTCTCTCCTTCGTCAGGGACATTTTCGGATATTCCCCCTTCTGCGCCTGATGCGCCGGGATCGCCGACTACCGGCTCTACGACCACTACCAGTCAGTCCGCTGCCTCCAATACGTTCGTGAGCGACCATTGGGCCAAGCGGGTATTTCTAGATGAGATTACAATGACCCCCATTCCTTACGTAGGCGAAAGGTGAGCATGATATATCTCCAGGCCACTGATCTAGCTATTGATGCATGATGGCACTAGTTCGAAATGTCTTGGTGAGCATTCTCCCGGCGTCAAGCGATGGCTCAAAGATGAAGAGTTCGAGGAACTCTTCCAATTGTGAGCATATACCTGGTCCTGCTCCCCTAGAGAACCCGCAGCTAACCGTCTCAGAGCATTCACCGGCGACTCCGACCTTCGCGTGCATTTCTATCTTCGCGAGGATGACCACCGAGCACGGATATTGTGCAAGGCCCCTCACACCACTCGGCCAAGCGAATACTTCTGCATGCCTTTGAATCTCCTGGAGATCGTCCGTGTTGGCTCCTGTCTCAACCTGTGCCGGCGACGGCGCGGAGGGTACGAGTTGGTCCTGTGGGCCAACCTCAAGTTCAGCACCATTGAGCGTAAGTCACCTTCTACCAGATGTCTGCAGAGCCTTTGCTGATAAGCACAGAGATGGTCCTTTTCTTCTGCACATTTCTCGCATTACGCTCCCAGGACGCCGGTCGACCTGTGGAGAGCATCCGTGACTACGAGCTCGATAACGAAGAAGAGCTCTTTGGAGGGTAAGTCTCGCAGACACTGCCCAATTCAAAGCTCACACTGCAACAGACAAATCCTCGACGATAATTACCTTCACGCATTGCGCATATACCGGGACAAGGTCTCCGGAGCCGTGAGGCTCCAGGCATCCGTCCACAAGGGGGAGATGAAACGGTATGATGCCGATCCACAGATCTTGGAAAAAGCTGACTGGTTTACAGAGCCCCCGTGTGGACTGCCTTTATCACTCAGCACCTCGGGACGCGCGGTTGGATCCGCCGTCCGGATTCCAAGGTGGTTGTGCTGCGTGAGCTCCGTCAGACCATCTTCATGTTCGCGGCGGATTATACCCCGCAGAAGACGTCGAGGGGGGAGCATATCTTGCAGTTTACGAATCGTGCTGGTAGGTCTTTTTTTTTTATCCCAGGGTTGGTACAGAATACTGATGGGTGTAGATGCCCAAGGTTTCGTTGAGACCATCGCCGAGCTGGCGAATACTCGCTAGAGTTATCGCAGTCAGACTTTGGTCGTATCAGGAACCATTACGGACGAACTTGATGACTAAAATATATACCTACGATTTATGTGCCATGACCGTCATGAGAAATGATCATTTGAGCGGCTTATTTGCCTCGTTGATATATCCTTTTTGGGAGGTATTCGCTTCTCTGGCGTTGAATGTTGCAAATGGGGTATCATAATGTACAGCACGTTATAAAAGACAAACCCAATACATGTATCTAGGATGCGTCTGCCTGCAGAGCACCCAAATCTCCCAACCCAGCCAGAAACGTCTCCGCCCTTCTCTTAGTTCGTAGCTCCTCAATCTGCCGCCTCCTCTCGTCCTTCACCCGCTGTCGCTCCGCCCGCCTCGCCTGCCTGGCCTCCCGCTCGCGCTGCGTCTCGTCCCGCGCACTCATCAGCTCCTCCATCTGCTTCCTCCGCGTCTCCTCATCCTTGGCAAACGCATAGAACGCCGTCCCGCGGTTCCGCACCTCCGCATCCGCATCGTAGTGCGTCTCCTCCGGCGGCGTAGGCGACCGGTCCCGCCGCGCAGCAAGCGTCGCCATCTGCTCCGCCGCAGACGACGACAGATTGAACGCCTCCGCCTGCACCGCAGCACCATAGATTAGCTTCTCGGGCCGCGCAGGTCGCCACCGCTCCGGGCCCCGACCTTCGCCGCTCTCTTGCGCTTTAGCTAACGCAGCACGCGCAGCTTCGGCCCTCGTCCCGCGCCGGCTCCGCCCGAGCTCGTCTTCATACGAGACGATGGACGCATTGTCGTCGGCCTCAGCCTCTTCCCTTTCAGACCCAGAATCATCTGACCCCCTCGCTCGCTGCGCATCGGCCCACTTCCGATCGAAATCCACCAGCCCCTCCTTCTCCTTCCGGCGGAGCCTTGCCAGGTAATCGTCCCCGCCTGCATTGGTGTCTGCCTCGTCGTCGCTGTCGCCCGCGAGATAGAGCCCGGTCTTGAGATCCTCGTACATGCGCGCCTTTTCCTCCAGCCGCCGCTTGGAGCGGTGCAGGGTGGCGGCGTCGACGGCGCCGATGTCTGCGGTGCGCTTGTGGATCTGGCGGACGGAGGTTTCGTCGTCGTCATCGCGGAGGTCCGCTGCGGCGCGTTTCTGGGCGCCTTTGTTGTGGACGGCGAAGATGTCTGATTTGGAGGATTTGGAGGGTCGAGGGCGGCCGCGGGCGGGCGAGTCACTGCCCTTGGTGATGAGGGAGGAGAGCTGGGTGGTGAAGGCGAGGGTGGAAGACGAGGGGGCGGTGGATTGCGAGGAGGGTTTTTGGCTATGTCGGGGGATGCCGTAGAGGGATGGGTTTGTATTTGACATTTTGTGATGTTTGCTGGTGAGCAACAGTGTTGGAAGTTTTAGTCCGTACTTCTGAAGATGAAGAGCAGTAAATGTTGTACTCCGTATGTAGATAAATCTCGCCAATGTCGATTAGATAACCGTATTTATGCCTCAGGCACCACTCCGATAATCGCTGCCCCGCGACTCCACGATTAAAGCGTTGGCGTTCTGCAACTTTTATGATTCATCCACTGCTGTCTCTGTTCCTGTTCATTCTCTACTGAAAAGTTTCTTGGAATTGTTGCACTGTCTATATCCATTTCTGCCACAAATATCGAGAATTCCCCAGCCATTGACCATGTCTAACATCTATCTCGGTGTCATCGGTGAGTATCCCACCTTTGCTTCACCAGAGTACTGACTCACGCTTACAATGAATGCATGATGCAGGCGTCGGTGGTGTTGGAACCGCATTCCTGAACCAACTCGCCCGTCTCCCCAATGCTCCCAAGCTGATCCTCCTCGCTCGCTCAACACAGACGCTTCTGGCCCCGACACCGGCCTACTCCCCCGCCATCCCCGCTGGTGACTGGAAGGCGGCCGCCGAGACCCCCTCGCTCACCAAGTCGGGTGCTCTGTCCCCCGAAGAGATTGCTTCCTATCTTTCCTCCGCTCCCGGCCGTTCAATCCTGGTCGACAACACCAGCGACCCAGCTCTGGCCAGCTCGTACCCGGTCTTTCTCCGCAAGGGCATCTCCATCGTCACCCCGAACAAGAAGGGCTTCTCCTCCGACCTCTCGCTGTGGAAGGAGATCTTCGCCGCGGCCGCCGAGGGCAAGGCGCTCGTCTACCACGAGAGCACCGTCGGCGCCGGGCTCCCCGTCATCTCGACGCTGCGCGATCTCGTCGCTACCGGTGACGAGGTCACCCGCATCGAGGGCGTGTTCTCCGGCACGCTTTCCTTCCTCTTCAACACCTTTGCCCCCGCCTCGGGCGCCTCCAACGCCAAGTGGAGCGAGGTTGTCGCCCAGGCCAAGGAGCTGGGATACACTGAACCCGATCCGCGCGATGACCTGAACGGCATGGACGTGGCGCGCAAGCTGACCATCCTGGCACGCATTGCGGGTCTCGAGGTCCAGGGCCCGGACGCCTTCCCCATTGAGTCGCTGATCCCCGCCGAGTTGGCGGCGCTGCCTTCCACCGCGGACGGCATCACTCAATTCATGACGGAACTACCTAAATTTGATGAACAGATGGCGGCTATCAAGGAGGGTGCCGAGAAGCAGGGCAAGGTCGTGCGGTATGTGGGTAGCGTGGACGTAGCGAAGAAGGAGGTGCGCGTCGGGCTGCAGCAGTTCGACAAGGACAGTGCCATTGCGGGTCTCAAGGGCAGCGACAATATCATCAGCTTCTACACCAAGCGGTACGGAAGCAACCCCCTGATTGTGCAGGGCGCCGGTGCGGGCGGCGATGTCACGGCCATGGGTGTGACGGCCGACCTCATCAAGGTGATTCAGCGATTGGGTTAGATATAGTCCTAGTCCTAGCGAAAATGCATAGACCATCAACCAGTCAACTACGTAGAAAGTGCTTGACGGCCTCGCCCCATACAGAACCCCGTTTGTACCAATGCATCCCGGGCACATTGCCCGCCTTCAAGCCATCAATCGCCATCGCCAGCTCCTCGCCCAGACCTTCGTCCTTGATCGTCTGCAGAGGATACGTATACGTATGGAACGCAAAGACAAGCGCCTTGCTCCGAGGCAGCCGATGCAGCGTCTGCCGCTCACACCGCAGAACCGTCTACATCCTTCGGCGTAAGCATAACCAACAACCCCAAGGAGAGTAACAGCACCCACCGAATCCACATCCAACATCCCCGGCTCAATCTCCTCCTTTCCAGGAGCCTGCGCCGACGCCTCCGTCGAGCCATGCACGCCTCCAAACGCAGCAAACAGGCCCGTCTTGGTCGTAATACTCCAGTTCACCCTCGCCACGACCTTCCCCACCTCGACCCGCGCAAAGAACCGATCCATGCTCCGCTCCAGCTTCTCCTTGTACCCCGGGACCGGGTCATGGATGGCCGCAAGCCGCAGACCAAGTTTCGTGCGCGTGTCGAACCCAGAGGGAAAGTATGCGGTGTACGCGGCTAGGAAATATCTCTCCTCTCCCCCCGACGTATCTTCGTCCTTGCCGCGAGCATCAGGCAAGAGGATAAGAAATTCCTCGTCGACGGTCTGGCCCAGGATCTCTAGGGCTTTGAGGACCGCTTGCTTCTGGCCCATGTCCATGTCGATCTCCACGGGGTACGTCTTCCCCGTGACCTTATTCTTTACTAATGTTGTGCTGTGGTCAGCCGACACCGACAAGCTAAACATCGTCGGGTACCGCGTGGGAAGATACGTCCCCATGATAAAGCCGTACAACTCGCCGACTGCGCGGCGGATCCGCGGATCGGCTTCATCGTGCACGCCGAGCACGACGTCGGGGTACTCCTTTAGTAGAGACGCGCGCAGCGCCATCCGCTCTTTGTAGGTCTTGTCCATGGGGATTAGGTCTGAGATGGGGATGGTGGAGAGGGCTGATTGCGTTAGCTGCAGTCTTGCGGACTAGATGGGTTACTGTGACTGGGGCATACCCATCGTCAAGTGGTATTTTGGCTTGAAGGGCCGGAAGACGAGTGGTTCGGTTGTTTCCCAGTTGAAGTTGGGGAGGGGGGCGATGGGTGCGTACCCCGTTTCTGCTTCAGATGAAGACTCATGTTTGGATGGGATGGTCTGGCTGTGTTAGTGGTGGAATTTGTAATGAGAGGATGGCAAGACGGACCTTGATCTTGCGATAGTATGCGGATGCGAATGCGAATGTCCCGATCCCCAGGACTAGGAACAAGATGATGGATGGGTTTCTTTCGAGGTAGAGTCTCCATGACTCGAGGTGCTGGAATCGTGCGGTAGACATGACCGTTTACGAGGGGTGTGAGTCGTACCTCGGACGTGTTCATGATGCGTCCATGATATACTGTATAGTAGGGAATGAGTCAAGAGGGGATATCATGCCCGGTTGGATATCTGCTCAGTCTGTGCCACGATTGGACGGGGGAACCGCGGAGTAACGCCGACTCGACGCAATCACCGAACGAATCATTACGGGATGATAGTATGATAGTCTGGTGCTATCATCCCAAGCTATGGAGATGCTGAATCGGTAGGCAATAGTTGCATTAGTTGGGCTCATGGAGCTACCAAGTATGATCAGGTAGAGGTATACATACAATACAGAATATAGACAACCGCCTCTGTAGACAACAGACCACAAGAACAATAAACATATGGGTATCAATAGAGATGCACAAATCAACATTAGGAACAACGCAGCAGCACGCGACCACGACGACGAGTCAACCACACCTGCAAGTCAAACAACAAGCACCGCTTGGCCATCGCCTCACCCATCCGTATCCGTCACCACTCTCTCTCTCCTCTTCACCTCCATCTGCTCACCCACCTCCCCGCCGGCCGCGGTATTAACAGCCGGCCCAAGCCCAAACACCCGCCTTGGCACCTCGCTCCTCTCACTGACATTCACATTCAAAGTCGGCGCACGAGGCCGCTGCATCCCTCTCGCCCGGCCCCCGACGACGGGGAACTCGTACGTCCCCATCCGCCAGATATACAGCAATACGTCGAAGACGATCAGCGCCGCCCAGGGGAAGATAGTAATGATGCCGAGGAAGACCTGGACCCGGCCACATTAGCGTTAGCATTACGTCCCCTCAGCGGAGTTCTCAGGGGCGGGGAAGGGGGTAGGCGTACAAAGATCCGAGCGGCCCAGCTCTCGACGTAGATTAAGTCTGGGGGGAGGATAGAGTACCACGCCATGGTCTTTCTTGAGTTTCTCTGATGTATTTTGTTCTTCGTATGGAGGAAGGTGAGGTGGATCTGTGCCGTATGTCAGGCGGGGAGCATTCGTGCGGAGAGGCGAATGCTCAGTAGACGGAGATGCTGTATAGTGGGTTGGACTCGAAGTTCAGTACTCCCCCGCTTACTGCAAAGCATTCGGGGGAGATAGAGCGAGTGGTAAGATCCTGGCGGATGGCAGGGGTGTGAGAGTCGCTGCGGAGCTCGAGTACTCGGTTTGGTGCGGAGGCGTACGATATCCTCGGTCAGGGGTCAGGAGTCTAGCGACAGTGACATCAACGACAAAGTAGGCCTCCGGAATGCATTCTCATTGAAGAGAAACCGTGTTACTGCAAAAAGGGAAAAGGCTGCTGCGATTTGATTTCAGGAGGAAGCAAGCAAACTGCTCCGTAAGTAAGGAGAGCAGAGCTGTTCAGGCACCGGAAGCTGACTTCGCCTCCGCCGCCGGCCCAATCGGGAAAATCGTAAGCATACCATCAAAGTGACATGTTACATTACACCAGGAGACTTTCATGACTCAGTTTATTGATCGTATCCAGAAATATATGATACTACAGGTATATATTCAGGTCATAATAATGAATGAAACAGTCATCGAATGTAATATAGCGTAAAGTTCGTTAACCCCGTGTCAAATGTACAGTCAAATCAAATCAAACCGACCAAACCTATGCACATATCAAGTTTATGACATAACCAAACCATTCAGCTGTACAAATCTGCAACTACCGCGCGGGACGGTAGTGCTCATACGAGGTGAAATTGGGATCGTCCTGCTCAACAGGCCCGTATCCTCCAGTCCGCCATCGGTCCAGGGGAGCAGGTGTTATCTCGCTCGTGCCTGGCACCTGGGCCTGGCTTAGGAGCTGCTGAGACTCGCTCGCGCTCCGATGATGATAGAGACCGGTCCCTATCGTCGCACTCTCCTCACGCGAGAGCGGAGTGCGGAAGGCAGGGTGGATATCGTTCGCGACTGGGTCGTAGCCTTCGGGCATTTTCAGTCCAGAGAGCGACGGCAGCGACGGCGTCGGCGATGACGCGCGCGATGTGGTCGGTGACCATTCGGCCAAGTGGCTTCGCGGTGTATGGGACCGCTCGGTCATCAGATCCTCGGGGCGGCCATAGATGCCCCCACCAAACTCGTCACGGAAGTCTGGGCGATCTTTGAAGTAGGAAAAGTCGAGATGATTCTCGGGAACAACCTCGAAGGGTGCCGATGGGGCGGCATCCATGGCCTTGCCCGGCTGCGTGGTCGACATGGGATCCATTGCAATGTCCGAGTATTCTCCTCGGACGTCCGAGGTGCCGAGTCGTCCGCGATATATTTGTTTGAGCGCTTCGGCAGCCTTGGCGTGCACCATCGGGGTGATCAGAGGCTTGTACAGTGCGGGATGGCCGAACTTGGAGCTGAGTCGGTCAGACCCCTTCTTGCCTGACTTGCCGACAGCGAACGCCTCCGCATCGGTCAGGTTGGCCCGGTTGTAGTATTTGATGTCGTCGTCGAATTTCTTCATGCAGTAGAACTTGAATCCCAGCATCAGGAATGGCAGCGGAATCACGCAGTAGACCATGGTCCAGGTGCCCTTGGTCTTGGCCACCAGCGCAATGACTACATTGGACAGGATGGTCGCAAATACTAGACGGTTGAACAGGGCGCGCCAGAACTGGCCGCCCGATTCTGTCTTCGTCACGAACACATAGAGCAACAGATACTTCTTCAACATGGCATCCAATCCGAAATACAACGCAGTGACGGGCAGTACGATGGGCTGCAGCGTCGCGAAACACAGCGCAACGGTTGAATAGAAGAGAAAGTAATTGTAGTAGCTCGCATAATCAAACGGCGGCGGCGCGGTCCATTCGATGGCCTGCCGGGGCGTAGGCGCGAGAAAGGTCTTGGCGAACCAAACCCAGAACAGGGTGACCAACTGCACGAGGTCGATGGCCGCTCCGAGATTGCGCTGCAGCAGCCAAGTCACCCAGAACGGAGACACTTGGCACAAGGCGCTCATGACCTTTTGGTAGAAAGCGCCATCCTTAATCGCTTGCCAGGCGTCCTCGTCGTGTTTCTTCGCATCAATGACAGCGGCCACAAATGTCCACGCGGCAGAGAAGAGCGAGAAGACGATGAGGTTATTGAAGACGAAGAACGAGTACAGATGACTCAGGACGTGGCGTTCTCGCGAGGTTTTGGTCACGTCACCCGCCTTGATGGACAACCGACGGAAGATGATCGGTAGAAGGAGGTAAACCAGGGAAGTGATCGCCGGTGAGAGGATACCCTGGACCGCGGCCCAAACTTCCGGGTTCGCATTGAGCGATGTCTGAAAAGCAGGCCAGACCAGACCCAGGTTGGACAAGTTGGACAGGAAGATGGCGATCATGGCGTTAGGAGCGATCCATACAACGGTCAACAAAGTAGTCCAGATGAAGTTCATGAACCGTTTCCACTTTCGTGCCTGCTTGGACAAGGGCAAATTCTCCCAGATGAGTTCGTTCGGGCGAGGTGCCAGCTGGATCGTGGTTCCCTTGGGGTGTTTCTTTCGCACGGTATAGGCGACGGCATGTGCATGCTCAATCATATCCCAGCTGACAAAACCGAATGGCATGGCGTTGCGCTTGTCGATGGAGGCGCGGACGTGACGGATCTCTTCCTCCAGACGCTGGATGCGATCGGTCAGGTAATCAATGGCATCTACCTTGCAATCCGGATGATTGCCTCTTTGCTTCTTGGAAGGTCGCATCATTGGTCGCGTGGCAGGTAGACGGTCGGGCCGCTTAAAATATTTCGCCAGGACGGACTCAAGCTGCCGCACGGTTTCCTCATGCTCCTTGATCAACACGGGAAGATCCTTGACATTTCGGCCGATGGAGGCCCGGGGGAGAGCAGCTGTGGGGTTGAATTCATCCACAAGGCGCATAAGGGCTTCGTCGGAACGTGCCTCGCTGGGAATATCCGTAATCTACAACGGTCAGTCATCGATGTAAAACCAGCTGCTTGGCGGGCAGTAACACACCATCAAGGTTCGAGCATGCAGACTGCGCTGATAATCAGAGCTCTGAAAATACTTTCTCCGCAAAGCTGTTACGGCCTTGTAATTCCTCCAGAGAAAGTAGGCAATGATGATGTCGAAGGCCCAGGCACAAAGGACTTGACTCCAAATCGCGTCCGTTGTGACATAAAGCGGGGTCATGGTCGCAAACGCCGACAACGATGAGATGCCAGAGCCGTTGCTCTTGGTGATATTAACCGGAATCATCACGCCGCATCCGATGATACTCAAAATGATGAAGATATTGCGGCACATCTTGGTGAAGCGCAGGAAAACGGTGGCATCGAGCCCGATGCATTCCACCAGCTCGGGCTCTCGCGTGCGCAGAACGGGTCTCACCCAGGCGAAGAAGCCCTTGCCCACTGGGGGCGGAGTATGTCTGCGATCCGCATGTTTGACTTTGGGCGCATATACAAGGGTGTGATGAGGACGAAAGAGGGAGAAGAGGAGGGCGAGGAGGAGGGAGATACCGGCGGAGGCGCCGAGCGAGGCCCACACGGCATTGATTTGGAACTAGCAGACGCGATTTAGCGATTGCAGAATCGAGAATGATTTGGAGGACTTACAGCCGACTTGAAAGGGTCTTGAATAAGCTTKAGAAACTGCTCAGCCCCCGACGGATMGTCACGCTGTCGCAGAGCGAAGTGGTCCATGGTATTTAGAATCTACTGCGGCATGGACGAGAGAGCGGGCGGTGAGGGTTTCACCAGAGGAATCAGAGCGCAGAGGTATATGGCAGAAACGAATGACTATATGATAGAAAAAGAAAAATGCATGGCACGTAAAAGGGACAGAAAAGAGTCAGGAAAGAGAAGATAAAAAAGATTGAAACAGACGGATAATGACTAGGAATGGCGCGGAGAACAACGCAAGACAGCAAGCAACAAGAGGACCAGGCAGCCCGCATGTGGGCTCGGTGGAGGCGGGTCTGGAACAGGGAACTAGTCTATCTACAGGTTAAACATTAATGGGAGGGATTCAATGGTTG